CTTCTCGACGGCTCTCCATGGGAGATTTCCGTCAGGAGGCATCTTCCCTCACAGGCGGAGGGTACTATCTTCACCCCCGCCCGGAGCTGTGGAAGCGTGGGTGTGGCCCCTGGGGGGGGGCGCAACTCGCAGCTTCCTGTCTCTCAACCGAGGTTGTTGAGACCATTCTCCAATCCAGAGCTCCCTCTACGAGGAAACTGTATGCCCTGAAGCGGAATCTTTCACTTCTTGGTGCGGAGACCGCCAGCTCGACCCAGTTTACTGCCCAGTTGGTACAGTGCTGGAGTTCCTGCAGGCCCGTTTCTCTGCAGGGTTGACCCACTCCACCTTGAAAGTCTATGTGTCAGTGGCCAGTCAGTGGGCAGACATCCCCTAGTTACACGTTTCCTCTACAGTGTACTGAGGCTGAGGCCTCTGGCCAGAGAAGCTTATGCTAAGCGGTGGACCAGGATGCTTTTACATAGCCTCGAGTCCTCTGATCTCCCCTCTCCTTTAGGGGTCAAGACTCACTCCTTCTGAAGTTGGCCTTCGGGACGCTGCGGGATGTCCCCGCCTACTTTGTCAGGTGCCTTCCTGCATTCTGCGCCACACTCCTTCTGAAGTGGGCCTTCGGGACGTTGCGGGATGTCCCCGCCTACTTTGTCAGGTGCCTTCCTGCATTCTGCGCCACTCCTGGCTCCTTTCTCTCTCCTTAGCTGTGCTCTTCCACACTAGGCAGGGATTGGTAAGTCTGGCCCACGTGGGCATACTCGTTCCCAAAGCATTTTCCGATGCAGCTCGAGTTCCTGAAGGGGAACGTCTCCAGATTATGAATGTAACCATGGTTCCCCGAGGGAACGAGACGCTGCGTCTCTGTGCCATACTTCCGGCATCCCTGGAAGCGCTTGCTTCATTCCTAGAAGCTGACGCCGGTTCCACCACACGCGCTTTTATAGCTTCCTGGTCGCAACGTCACCCGCCCATGACGTCTCGCCCATCTATTGGACTGATTTCATATGTGATTCAGAGCATGGTCACGCTGGGGGAGTTCTCAAAGCGTTTTCCGACGCAGCGTCTCGTTCCCTCGGGGAACCATGGTTACATTCGTAACCTGGAGACGTTCTTCTACCACACTGAGGCAAAAACCCTCTTTTGTATGGTAGTTTGCTTCTTTAGTATTCACCTCTCAATCATAGCTTTTAAAATCTTGATTATGATCCGTGCACACTCTAATGGCTAATATTGCACACCATCTATTGCGCTTTGGCGAAGGATTCGGTTCAGAACTACAAACACGGGGGGGGAAAGCATTAAAAACTACAAACATGGTGGATGTGCGCGACAGACGGTTAAGTAGAGAGGTTTTAAATAAATGGGGTTGAGTTACTACTAATTAACATTTAGCCTGTTACAAAATGTTTATTTAATGTTATCTGTGTTATATTTCATCTACAACAACAATGTGAACTTTTATAAACATCCATTTGGCCATTAAAGGTGGGGTAAGCGATTTTTCAAACACGCTTTAGAAAACTGATTCAGGCCGTCTAGCAAAACAAACTTGTAGCCAATCAGCAGTTAGGGGCGTGTCTACTCATGATGTGGAGGAGAGAGCGTTCAGCGCACGGGACGGACATTAGCGAGCCGAGCGACAGAAAGATAGAGATGGCGGATAAAAAACAAAAGAGGAAAACGTCTGC